CACCCATCAACCCACCCACCCATCCATCCATCCCTCCATCCATCCCTCCATCCATCCATCCATCCAACAAATATTTCACCTCACCTCGTATATTCCAGGCCCTGGGATAGTTCAATTTTTCTCCTCTTCTCTGGGCTTCCATTTCCTCTTCTGTAAAACAGACAGACTTGACTCAATCTTCATTCATTCCTTCCCTTAGCAAACTTCCCCTGAGTTTTCCTCTCTGCCCGGCTCTGTGCACAGGCACTGAGGGTACAGCCATGAATCATTCGCAGCCCCTGCCTTCAGGAGCCTTCCCTTTTGGAGTGAGGCAGACACATGCCCCAAAAGTCATAGTCTAGGGTGATAGGGGCTGAGATAAAGGGAGGTGCTGGGAACTATGAGAATTCAGGGGATGAGGCCATCACTTTCAGGATGCTCCTGGGGGCATCCAAGAGTGCTTCCTGGAGGGAGCAACTTCTGGGCACTGGGAGTAGATCCAACAGGTCGTCTTGTGCTGGGTCCAGGGCCTTGTGCATTGTGGAGTGATGAAAGCCACTGGGGATCTCTGAGCAGGGGAGGGGCAGAGGCAGGTCTGGTTTGGGAGAGGCAGAGCAAGGCCATCTGGTGGCTGTGTCCAGGTGTTCTCAACCACCGAGGGCAGGGTCCGCATCGAGCAGCGGGCGGACTCCAGCAGCTTCGTGATCGAGAGTGCCGAGCGAGGGGACGAGGGCCGCTACACCATCAAGGTCACCAACCCTGTTGGCGAGGACGTGGCCTCCATCTTGTTGCGAGTGGTGGGTGAGTAGAGGGAGCCACGGGGCTGAGCCGGGGGTGGTTCCCTGAGGCTGTGAGGGAACCTCCTGACTCTTCTGCCTCCCTGCAGATGTCCCAGACCCCCCAGAGGCTGTGTGTGTCACCTCGGTTGGAGAGGATTGGGCCATCCTTGTCTGGGAGCCACCCAAGTACGATGGGGGGCAGCCGCTCACCGGTGAGTGCCCATGTGTGAGAGTCCCCATGACCTCTGATCTCTCCTACCCTCTGACTTCTCCTTAACCTCCAAGAGTCCTGAGCATCCTTGATGACCTCCCTCTGAGACCTGGTTTCCGTCTTTGATATTTCACAATCCCTTTGGTCTTCTCCATCATTCTTTACTCCCTAATGAACTGGGAATCTTCACTTTGGCCAATAGCCTGGGATTTTCTGTGACCCCTGGCCCCCTGATTCATGACCTGTGACTCTTCTTGATCCCCGACCCCATGATGGGTGACCTCTGACTGCTCTGTGACCTTGAGATTGACCTAAGATTCATGGCCTCAGGCCTCTTTGGGCCATGTGACTTTTTGACATGACCCTCACTGCCCCGACTGACCTGCCACCCCCTCTATGACCTCCCGCTCCTCTGTGCTTGGGGGGTGTCCAGGGTATCTTCTGGAGCGGAAGAAGAAGGGCTCTCACCGCTGGATGAAGCTGAACTTCGACGTCTTTACGGAGACGACTTACGAGTCCACCAACATGATCGAGGGCATTCTCTACGAGATGCGCGTCTTTGCCGTCAATGCCATCGGGGTTTCCCAGCCCAGCGTCAACACCAAGCCCTTCATGCCCATTGGTAACGCCCCTCTGCACTCTCACCGAGCCCCCACCTACCTCCCACCCGTGTCCTGCTGGTCATTGATCTCTAACCCTACACCTGGCCTTTGACCCTCAGCCCCAGCCATCCTCCCGATCTCTTCCTGACCCAGGACATCACCGCTGATCTCAACGATCCTAGACTCCTTGCTCTTGCCCAAATACCTCATTGACCTCTGACCTACCAGACTAACACCTATCGCTGCCCTTGGAGACCTCACTGTCCCTTGATAGCTTGCTTTAATGACCCATGTTGACACGTCCTTGCTCATTGACCTCTGATCCTTTTCTTGACCAGTGACCCCAGCTCTGACCCCTGTCCCTCCGTGTGACCACTGACGCCTCATTTACCCTCACCTCCCCTTTCCCTGGATCCTTATAGCGCCCACAAGTGAACCCCAGCACCTGATGGTGGAGGACGTGACAGACACCACCACCACCCTCAAGTGGAGGCCTCCAGATAAGATCGGCGCAGGCGGCATCGATGGGTACCTGGTGGAGTACTGCGTGGAGGGATGTGAGTGACCCCGTCAGGCCTGGTCAGGGGCGGAGGCTCACACAGAGCCCCAGGGGGTGTTCAGTCCCGGGGACTGCACGTAGGGCGGTGCCGGGAGAGGGCTCTGGTGCAGTGGGCTGCCCTTGTTCTGTCCGTACTTGCGTGAACCCCTGGAATGGGATGGGTCAAGCCAGGCCCCCAGTGACCAGCTTGTCCTCTCTCCCTCCCTCCCTCCCACCTTCCCACCTTTCCTCCCTTCCATCTTCCCCTACATCCATCCTCCATACAGCAACACCTTCTCATCCATCCATCTTTCCATCCTTGTGTTGATCTACTACCTCTATCCCTTCTTCCTCTCATCCATCCATCCATCCACCCACCCACCCACCCACCTATCCATCTATCATCCATTCATCCATCCATCCATTCATCCATCCATCCATCCATCCACCTTTCCTCCCTTCCATCTTCCCCTACATCCATCCTCCATACAGCAACACCTTTTCATCCATCCATCTTTCCATCCTTGTGTTGATCTACTACCTCTATCCCTTCTTCCTCTCATCCATCCACCCATCCACCCACCCACCCACCTATCCATCCACCCACCCATCCACCCATCCATCTAGCCATCTATCTACCCATCCACCCATCCACCCATCCACCCATCCATCCACCCACCTATCCATCCACCCACCCACCTATCCATCCACCCACCCATCCATCCATCCACCCACCCACCCATCCACCTATCCATCCACCCACCCACCCATCCATCCACCCACCCACCCATCCATCCACCCACCCACCCATCCTTCCTTCCTTCCTTCGTTTTGCTCTTTTCTTTCTGCCTCCCTCATTTCCTTCCTTCTCTCCTTCTTTTCTTCTTTCTCTCCCTCCCTCTCTTCCTACCTTCCTCCCATCCACTTGCCCACCCAGTCATCCATCCCACCATCTCGCTATCCATCTGAAAATCTTTTGGATCATCTAACTATCCATCCATCCAGTAACATTTTTTTCATCAATATATTTATCTCTTCACCACCATCTTTCTTCTCTCTTCCCTCCCTCCCTCCCTCCCTCTTTCCATCCATCCATTTCCCTGTATAATCATCCAGCCATCTGTCTACTGTCTCTCCATCTGTCCGTCCATCCATCCACTCACCTATCCATCCATCCATCGATCGATCCATCCATATTTCCACACATCCAACCCTCCATCCTCCATGGAACAAACGTGTTGAGTGCTGACTCCGTGCCAGGCCCAGTGCCATGGCCATGGGGATATCTCTGACACGGTCATCTCACTGGGAAGACAGCCATGATCATCTCGACACCATATCCCAGGCCTTAAAGTCAGACAGATATGGGTTCCAATCCTGCCCCTACACTTTTAACTATGTGACCCTGGGCAACTCTCTGAGCCTCAGTTTCTCCATCTAAAAATGGTGAAGACAGTTCCTATCCCGACGGGGTTCAGTGATGGCTGCATGTGGTAATGCATGTACATGATGGATGGTTGGACTCTGGTCAGCTTCTTCCCTCTTTCTCTTCCCAGTGCTCTTCATCCCATTCCTACCCATGCCGACCCCTCCCCAATCTGTGTCAGCATCAGCCTGATGTTCCAGAACCCACTTTATTAGAGTTCACCCTGTTGATTGTTGATCTGACCCACATTGGTTCCCCAACCCGTGGTGACAAACCCAGGACGGAAGGGCACCTATCACGGAGGCAGGAATCCCAGGAGCTGTCTCTAGCCAACACCCCCAATTCTTTACCCTCTCTGAGCCTCAATTTCCTTGTCTCTAAAATGGGGATAACATAGGACGGAGGTGGGAATTAATGAGCTAAGGTGTGCCTCCCTTCGAGCCTGGTCATAATAAGTCCTTAATCAGTGTCAGCTGTTGCTAGTTCACTGCGGTGGGGCTCAAGGCACGGGAAGGGGCAGGAGCTGAGGGGCTCCCGGGAGGGGTTTGAAGGAAGGCCCCTGGCATCGCTCCTCTCCTGTAGCCGACGAATGGATCCCTGCTAACACGGAGCCCGTCGAGCGCTGTGGCTTCACCGTCAAGAATCTCCCCACGGGCGCGAAAATCGTCTTCCGTGTTGTCGGGGTCAACATCGCGGGGCGCAGCCAGCCGGCCACCCTGACCCAGCCGGTCACCATTCGGGAGATCGTGGGTGAGCGACCGCTGGGCCCCGACCCTGCTGTCCTGACGACCAAGTTGGTGTCATCCGGCCTGCCCTCCCCCTTAGGGCCTCTCCCAACAAGCTTGTGGCCACTAGTCTGTCCCTCCCTTGAGTGTCCCCCCTACCCCAGCGCTGAGCATCCCTGCCCCCCGTTTGTGCCCTCAGAGCAACCCAAGATCCGGCTCCCCCGCCAGCTCCGCCAGACTTACCTCCGCAAAGTGGGAGAGCATCTCAACCTCGTCATCCCCTTCCAGGTGTGCGGAGCTGGGGTCGGGGGTCAGGGGTTGGGGGTCAGTTCCTGCCAGGGAGACCCTGGCTGATGTCTCTTCCCCGCTGCCCCTGCCCAGGGAAAGCCGCGGCCCAAGGTGGTGTGGACAAAGGGCGGAGCGCCCGTGGACACCTCCCGCGTGCACGTGCGCACCAGCGACTTGGACACCGTGTTCTTCGTGCGCGAGGCGGCCCGCTCCGACTCCGGGGAGTATGAGCTAAGCGTGCAGATCGAGAACATGAAGGACACGGCCACCATCCACATCCGGGTCGTGGGTGCGCGGCGGGGCGGGAGGGCACGAGGAGGGTGGGCGAGGAGGTGAGGAGCTGGACGTTCAGGGACGCTTGGGCTGGCATGTAACCACCGCCCCCACACCTTCCAGAAAAGGCGGGGCCAGCAGAGCACGTGATGGTGAAGGAGGTGTGGGGCACCAACGCGCTGGTGGAGTGGCAGCCCCCCAAGGATGATGGGAACAGTGAGATCACGGGCTATTTAGTCCAGAAGGCCGACAAGAAAACCATGGTGAGAGACCAGAGGGGCCCGGGCGGGGTGGGCGAGGGGGAGACAAGCTGGCCTGATGGGCAGAGCTGGTACCGCTGTTCCCATTTCACAGCTGGGGAGACTGAGGCGCCCAGAGAGATTGGGACAACTGGCTGGGGCGGGGAGGGAGGCCTCTGGGCTGAGATTTGGTGTGTGATGGGTTTTCTTTTTTTTTAATTGAGGTAAAATTCACATAACGAAATTAAGCATTAACCATTTTACAGTGGCATTTCATGGCATTTAGGACATTCCCAGCCAGCCCTGGTGGTCTAGTGGTTAAGATTCGGCACTGTCACTGCCAAGGCCTGGGTTCATTTCCTGGTCAGGGAACCACACCACCCGTCTGTTGGTTGTCATACTGTGGCTGCGTGTTACTGTGATACTGAAAGCTATGCCACTGGGATTTTTTTTTTTTTTTTTGTGAGGAAGATCAGCCCTGAGTTAACATCTGTTGCCAATCCTCCTCTCTTTGCTGAGGAAGACTGGCCCTGGGCTAACAGCCGTGCCCATCTTCCTCCACTTTATATGGGACGCCGCCACAGCATGGCTTGACAAGCAGGGCGTCAGTGCGCACCTGGGATCTGAACCTGCGAACCCCGGGCCACCGAAGCGAAGTGCGCGCACTGAACCGCTGTGCCACCAGGCTGGCCCCAGCAGCTGGGATTTCAAGTACTAGCAGGGTCATCCGTGGTGGACAGGTTTCAGTGGAGCTTCGAGACTAGACAAACTAGGAAGAAAGACCTGGCCACCCACTTTCGGAAAAATTGGCCATGAAAACCCTGTGAACAGCAGCGGAGCATTGTCTGATAGAGTGCTGGAAATGAGAACAGTGCAACAAGACCTGGCAGGGTTCCACTCTGCTGTCCACGGGGGCACTAGGAGTCGGGATTGGCTCGGTGGCACTAACGTTAACAATAAGTACGTTCCCAATGTTGTGCAGCCACCAGCTCTATCTAGTACCAAGACATTTTCATCCTCCCAAAAGGAAACCCCATACCCGTTAAGCAGTCACCCCCATTCCCTCCCACCCTGCCCCAGGCAACCGCTAATCTCATTAATCTGCTTCCTGTTTCTATGGATTTGCCTATTCTGGAGATTTCATATAAATGGAATCCGCCAATATGTGGCCTTTCGTGTCTGCCCTCTTTCACTCAGTGTAAAGTCTTCCAGGCTCATCCACACTGTAGTGCGTATCAGGGCTTCATTCCTTTTTCATGGCCGAGTAATATTCCATGGTTGGATCCACCGCATTTTGTTTCGCCACTCATCTGCTGATGGACATTGGGGTTGTTCCCGCCTTCTGGCCACTGTGAACAGTGCTGCTGAGAACGGCGGGTTTTCTGAGTGTGGTGCACCCTTGGATGTGCTTTCCTCACCACTGGTCCTTCTCATGTCTGTCCCCAACTCTCCTTCCCCATCCCTGCACTAGGAGTGGTTCACCGTCTATGAACACAGCCGGCACACCAGCTGTACCGTGTCCGACCTCATTGTGGGCAATGAGTACTATTTCCGCGTTTACAGTGAGAACTTCTGTGGGCTCAGCGACTTGCCTGGCGTCTCCAAGAACACGGCCCGCATCCTCAAGACAGGTCTGGCCACCCCCCTCTGCGGGCTATGGTCCCCCCTCTCAGCTGGGGTTCAACCTTGACTCCTCCGTCCCCAGCACCCCTATACTCCAAGTTGATGGCACCCGGTGATGGAGGGCAGGCTCCCTGGGGACAGTCTAGCTGGGTCACTTACAGATGCATCTCTCCTCCACCCAGGAATCACCTTCAAACCCTTTGAGTTCAAGGAGCATGACTTCCGAATGCCCCCCAAGTTCCTGACGCCTCTTATAGACTGTGTGGTCGTGGCTGGTTATGCCGCTGCTCTCAACTGCGCCGTCAGAGGCCACCCAAAGGTGCCGTGGTGTGTGTGTGTGTGTGTGTGTGTGTGTGTGACCCTGGAGGGCAATCTTCACTCAGGAGAAGCCCCCACTCCTCCCTGCCACACCGGCTCTTCCTCCTATTATGGGATCTGCTCACTTTTTTTTTTTTTTATGAGGAAGATCAGCCCTGAGCTAACATCCATGCCAATCCTCCTCCTTTTTTTCCCTTTTTCTCCTCAAAGCCCCACTAGATAGTTGTATGTCATAGCTGCACATCCTTCTAGTTGCTGTATGTGGGACGCGGCCTCAGCATGGCCGGAGAAGCGGTGTGTCAGTGCGCGCCCGGGATCCGAACCCGGGCCACCAGCAGCGGAGCGCGCGCACTTAACCGCTAAGCCACGGGGCCGGCCGCCCAGGATCTGCTCACTTTTAACCTACTTCCCGTCTCTTTCCTCCTCCAACCAGAGCCCCCGTCTCGGATCATGACACGCTGACCTCCCTGGGCAATGGAAACCTTTTGTAGGGGGGGATCTAAACCTCCAGGGCTCCCGGTGTCTTCTGGCCCCACCCAGTCTCCAGACTGCTGTGTGGAGTGTGGGGCAGCCTTGACCTCCAGCGGCCACCTAGACCCGGGGTTGGCAAACTATTGGCCAACCCACCTGCCGCCTGTTTCTCTAAATAAAGTTTTATTGGAACACGGCTGTGCACACTTGTTTGCATATCGTCCGTGGCCACAGAGACCAAGGGGCCTGCAAAGCCTAAAATATCGGCTCCCTGGCCTTTTACAAAGTTTGCTGACTTCTGGTCTAATTCCCAGCCTTTAGCTTCAGCCCTGTAGGCACACCATGCATTCATTCCTTCACCTCCTCCATCTCAATCTTTATTCACCAACTCTACTCATTCACTCATTCCACTCATTCATTCACCTCCCAATCCATTCACTAACTCGGTTCATTCATTCACTCCATTTGCTTATTTACATCATTCATTCACTCATTCATTTATTCACTACGTTTATTTTTTTAACGCACATCTTCAGAGGCTTTCTATCTGCTGGGTGAATCGGACAAGAATTTCTGGATGTTGGGGGAGACTGGCATTAATCACACAAGTGACGATACAATTATAAAAGGTGGCAGGTGTGCCAGAGAAGGGCAGGTCGTTGTGAGAGTGAACTAGGTGTTCCTGCCCCAGCCCAGGGGCCAGGAAGTGATGTGTGAGCAGAGACCTGAAAGACAGGCAGGAGCTGATGTGGTGAAAAGAGGAAGGAAGACGGGGCCGGCCTGGTGGGGTAGTAGTTAAGTTCATGTGCTCCGCTTCAGCAGCCTGAGGGTTTGCAGGTTCAGATCCTGGGTGCAGACCTACGGACTGCTTGTCAAGCCATGCTGTGGGAGGAAGATGGGCACGGATGTTAGCCCAGGGCCAGTCTTCCTCAGCAAAAAGGGGAGGACTGGCAACAGATGTTAGCTCAGGGCTAATCTTCCTCACAAAAAAAAAAAGAGGAAGGGAGAGCTGTATTGGACGAGGGAGCAGCCAGTGCCACGGTGGTCCCGAAGTGGGAGCCTGTCTGAGGAACAGCAAGGCGCCCAGTGTGGTTGGAGCAGAGGGAGGGCGGGGGTGGGAGGTGAGGGCAGAGGAACAACGAGGTCGAATCATGTAGTGCCCTCCCCACTACCCTGCGAAGTAGGGATTATCAGCCTGTGTTTATAGAAGAGGAGACTGAGGGTCAGAGAGGAGAAGTGACTAGTCCAACACCATCCAGCTAAAATGAGGTGGCGGCACAGGCAAAAGGAGCATCCAGAGCTGCCTGTCAAGCCCAATCTGCCATCGCCCCGGGGCCCCTCTCTGAGCTGGCCTGCTCTCCCGCTCCCTTCAACAGCCGAAGGTGGTCTGGATGAAGAACAACATGGAAATCCGCGAAGACCCCAAGTACCTGATGACCAACCACCAGGGGGTCTTGACGCTGAACATCCGCCGCCCGTCGCCCTTCGACGGCGGGACTTACTCCTGTCGGGCCGTCAACGAGCTGGGGGAGGCGCTGGCTGAGTGCAAGGTGGAAGTCCGAGGTGAGGGCGTGGTGGCCCCCGGTGCTCTGCCTGGCTGACCTGCATTTGCGCCCTTTAAAGCTAACGGAGGGCCGTGCTGAGCAGGGCGGAGGGCAGAGCCAGGCCCTCTAGGAGGACTGGGGAGGCGGATCCAGGCCCCACAGGAGGGGTGCAGTGAAGGCAGCACAGGGCACTGGGGGTAGGGTGGGGTGGGGGCGCACCCAACCCAGCCTGGGCAGGAGTCCGAGATTTGCCAAAGGAGTTGAAGGACACCTAAGAGGTGACTGAGGGCCAGAGGGGCTCAGCAAACAATCGCGGAGGACCCCAGTGCGCCTGGGCCTCCCCGGGGAGATGTGTGGACTCAGCGTTGAAACAGACATGGGTAGTGGCAGAGGACCAGGGGCTGTGGGCTGCCTCCCCCTCCACAGCCTGTCCCCAAGCTGCATCCCTCCTGTCCCTGCCTCTGTCCCAGCCTCCTTTGTCCTCTTCCTCCTGAATTCTCACCCGGCCTCCTTCCTGGCCTCCCCGCCTCTGTCTCTCCCTCTTCTCCACCCCCTACAGGCCTTAGAGGGCTCTCCATCAAGAGGTGACATGCCCCTCCCCTGCTCACAGCCTCCCCGGGCTCCCCAACAGCCGGGAGCCCCTCAGCCTGGTGTCATGGTTCTGCATCCGGCCCCCCTCCAGCCTCATGAACCCCATTTCTCTCCACACTGTTCCAGCCACACCAAGCTGCTGGCCGTTGGACAGACTAGCCGTGCTTTCTCCTGCCCCTGGGACTTTGCACATGCTGTTCCCTCTACCCAGCACGCTCTTCCTTGCCTCCTCTGCCTTGGGCTTCAGTCCATCCAACATCCACCAGTCAAGGCTTGGTGGGGAGGCTGCTAACCAAGTCCCTCAGAGTTGGCTGATGTTAATATGGGCTTCCTGACTGTGACGCCCCGTGGCCCTGAGGACAGCCCAGCAGACAGAAGCAGCCGTAGACCCTTAGCGAGGGCTCAGAGAGACCCCTCTCCGGGCACTTCCTGTCTGTCATTCTAAAGCACGGCCCTTCCAGGCGGACCCAGTTTCTAATGTTCCGCTGTCCCCTTTGTGAACTATTGAATCAGCCCAGAAAGATCCCTACTTCAGGTTTCCCGTGACGGCTGGTCGCCAGCCCCTGCTCAGAAATCCCTGCTCAGAAGGTCCCAGTTTGGGGTTGCAAACTACAGTAATCCTGGGCGCCGTGATGTTAGTTGACCGACCCCAGAGATGAGGGCGGTGAGTGGGGTGGTGGGGGGAAACCTGCTCCCCCTGCTGGTCAAGTGAGCCCAGGGGAACAGGGGCCTGGGGGGCCACGCGTTTCCACCCACCCTCTCTTGTCCCCACAGTGCCACAGTGAAACTTCCGCCCGCCAAGACTTCCTGCTGCTGAGTCCTCCCCCGGACCCCCAATGCTGTTTCCCTCCCCGGAGTTGTCACTAAGAAGATAACAGTCTTGTTTCCACTGGCCTGTGTCTGTCCTCCTTGCATCTGTAGCTCAGGCTCCCTCCTCCTGTAGGGGTTGGTCCCCGCGGGTGGGTGATGGGGACAGCCAGGTTGGAGGGGCGACCAGAATAAGGCAGCCCAGATAGAACAGAGCATGTTGAGGCCCCATCTTGGAACAGCTCCTTTAGTGAGGGGACCGCATTGCCATGGCAACTGCAGAGGTCAGAGGCGAACCCCAGACCAGGGTGGCGGCTGCCCTCTGAGACTAGGGAGGCTGGCCGCCGCAGTGGCAACCACAATGAGGCGGAGAGGAGCCAAAGGCCAGACTGGGAAGGCTGCTCTAGTGGGGGAGCCATGATGGAATGGCGGGCACGGGGTCTCATGGCCCAGGAGCCAGAGACGTGAACCAAGACCACGCCCAGGCGGCCACACTGGAAATGCGTTGAATTGGTGACCATGGCAAACGGCTCACGACCTGGTTGTTGGTTCTTAAGTGGCCGATCTTTATTAACTTTAATAATTCATCTCTCCTGCCCTGAGGTAGGGGGCTTTGACCTCTGGCCCTTTGGTGACCTCAAAGCCTGGAGGAATCAGAGTCCCCAGAGTTCAGAGGTCTGTGGGTCGAGTCTGGTCTCCATGGCCTGAAGATGGTACAAGATAGTTTGTCTCAGAGCCTGGACTGCAGGTGTGTCTGCAATTTTGGGGTAGGTGAGGGGACTTTGTACTTCCTGGGAAAATGGTGTGGGTGTGTGTGTCAAGAGGAAGTGCCCCCGCCTTCAAGGACTGGTGCCCCTCCCCTCCCCAGGCATTACAGGGAACTGGGCATCTGGCCTGGCCGACCCCACCCTTTCACGCCGGGCCGCATTCCCTCCCCAGATCCCACCGCGGGAGGACAAGGGGAGAGAGGCTGGGGTGAGGCGGCCCCAATTAGGAAACTACAATCACTTATGCCAGCGCACCAAGGCCCTGCCAACCCCGCCCTGCTTTGACATCCTGTGTTCGCTAAGCCGACTGCACACCCTTTCAGGACCCGGGAGTCCCGCCCCCAGCCCCTCCTCCCCCGAACCCGGGAGTCCCGCCCCCAGCCCCGCCTCCTCCCTCCTCGCGGCCGCCCCTGCGCCACCTCCTCGCGCTCCGTCGGCCCCTCGTCCTCCTCGCCGTCCTCCAGCGCCGAGTACTCCTGCGTGAAGGGCACGGCTCCCTGGGCCGAGTGGAAGCGCAGGCGGTAGAGCAGCCGCACCCACTGGCCGAACTCGCGGTCGCGGGTCTCGGGCGGCGCCCGCAGCTGCAGGTAGAAGGCGCGGCCGGTGCGGAACTTGACCTTGAGCTGGCAGCGGCTCTCGTCGTGGACGAAGAGCTGGACGAACTGCAAGGGGAACAGCCTGGGCGGGCGGAAGGGGCGGCCTCAGGGTCTGACCGTCCCTGGCTCGACAGCCTTGTCCCCGGGCGCCCTGAGGGTCGAGGTCGCCCACCTCGACGCCCCTCTCTGCCCGGAAGGAATCCTTTCACTTTCTCTGCCTCTTGAATGTTACCCACCCCCAACTGTCTTGCGCCCACAAAGCACATTTGCGTCTCCCGCTGGTCCGCTCTCCCCAACTCCAGACTCGAATAGACAGCTGCCTACTCGAAATTTCCATTTGGATGTTGGCTCGACATCGGACACATAACACATGCAACAACCACTTTCCTGACCTTACCCTCACCCCAGACCTTCCCCATCTTAACCACATCCTCCCACTTGCTCGGTTATCGTGGAGTCGCTCCTAAACCGACCTGCTGTCTCACATCCCTATCCGAGCCTGCCACCAAGTCCTGATGGCTGCACCGTTCACATGTATCCACAATCCGGCCACTTCTAACTCCCTCCACCGCCGCCACCAGGGTCCAGCCTCTGGAATTTCCCGCCTGGGCGCGCTGCCCCGGCCTTCACCCTGTCTGTTCCCACGCGCCCGCCAGAGGGCACCGGTAAACACCTGAGTTAGCTCCTGTCCCTACCACGGCTCAGATTAAAAAGAAAGTCCTCAGCTGGACCACGAGCCCCTGCAGGATCTGCCCCCTTTATTCCCTCTCTGCCCTCACCTCCCACCCACTCCCCTGGCTCACTTGGCTCCAGCCACACGGGCCTCCTCGCTGTTCTATAAACCTGCCAGGCTTGGTCCTACCTCAGGACCTTTGCACAGGCTGTTCCCTCAATCTGAAATCTTCCTCTAGCCACTCCTCTGACTTGGCCTATTCATCTCTCTCATGTCTTTCTCAAGAAGCACCTTCTCAGGGAGAAGATCTGTTTACAACCCCTGCCCTATTTACAACCATGTTCACTCTTGCAGACAGTTACCTGATATGTCTTTCCAGACGTTACCCCATTGGACAAATTGTCATTTACTCTGCCGCTTTCCCAGTAGAAGGTGAGCTTGAGGGCAGAGCTTTTGGTCCAATTCTGTTCACTGCTGCTTCCCTAGTACCCAGAGCTGACAAACAGTAGGTGCTCTGCAGATGCTTGTTGAGTATTTGAATAAATGAATTGCTCAGGCCCCCAGCCTGATTCAGCGTTCAACAAGGCAGAGGAGGAAACAATCCAGAGAGGGTGAGTAACTTGGCCCAGGTCACACAGCGGGAATCTGAGCCCAAGTCACACCCATGTACTTAACCACAACGCAGGTAGCCACATACCCCCCTCTGGCCCAGCAATTCTACCTCTAGGAATCCATCTTACTGACACCCTCACACTTGTGCACATGGATATCCCTGCCTGCCACACTGGCTGTAACCCAAAGACACCAGCATCAGTGTCCCTCAGTAGGGGACTCGATCTATCATCATCTTCCCCAAATGGAAGGATAACAGCTGACACAGAGCGCATACTCTGTGCCAGGTGCTGTTCCAAGCAATTTACAAATGTACTCAGTTTATCCCCCGACAGCCCTGGAAGGTGGGCTCTCCTCTTATCCCCATGTTCCAGATGAGGAAACTGAGGCACACACAGGTAGGGAACATGACCAAAGCCAGTGAAGAAGAGACAAAGCCAGGATGTGAACCCGGGCCGTCTGAAGACAGACATCCCTTCAAGACCATTCTGGTGGCTGTGCTGATGCTGACATGAAATGAATATCGATGCAGTGCTGATGAGGGAGCGAGCAGAGGCGAAAAGCAGCATATAGCACGTGCCTGCTGCTGTTCTTAAAGAAGGGGCGAACACACACTATATGGCTGTCAGGACCGGCCCAGTGCAGGTCAGGGCCGTAAGCTGGGCAGAGGCGAGGGGCTGGGGGATGAGTCTTGAGGCCGAGTTTGCAGAGCAAGCTGAATTTTACTTCGCTGGCATGTCTATTGGGGGCGGGGAGGGGATTTCAGAATTGCAAAGGATCGTGGGCCTGTGTGTGTGTGTGTGTGTGTGTGTGTGAGGGTATGTGACAATGAGTCCTTCCTTCCTTCCCTCCCTCCCTCTCTCTCTTTTTCTTTCATTAACTGTGAGATGTGGTCAGAAAAGTGAAAGCTGCTGGCAGAATGTTTCTGTAAATATACTATGCACATGTAAATGTTTTGGTATCTGCAGCTGGAGTTGGAGGCAGAAGCCTAGAATGGGAGAAAGGTATATTTTGTGCTGTCTGTGTTTTGTACCTTGGAGTGTATTTGCATTACTTTCTCTTTTCTTTTTTTTTTTGCTGCAGAAGATTCGCCCTGAGCTAACACCTGTTGCCAATCTTCCTCTATTTTGTATGTGGGTCACCGCCACAGCACGGCCACTGACAAGTGGTGTAGGTCCATGCCCGGGAACCGAACCCAGGCCACCAAAGCAGAGCACACGGAACTTAATCACTAGGCCACTGGGCCAGCCCTGCATTACTTTTTCAATGAAAAAGCAAAGACCTGGGCCGGCCCCGTGGCTTAGCGGTTGAGTGCGTGCGCTCCGCTGCTGGCGGCCCGGGGGTCAGATCCCGGGCGTGCACCGATGCACCGCTTCTCCGGCCATGCTGAGGCCGCGTCCCACATACAGCAACCAGAAGGATGTGCAGCTATGACACAACTATCTACTGGGGCTTTGGGGGAAAAAGTAAATAAATAAAATTAAAAAAAAGAAAAGAAAAAACAAAGACCTGGAGGGGCAGTGTGTGGTGTGGCCCAGGAGCTCAAGAATTGTGAGGTTGGCAATCATGAGGAGCCTGAGGTTCCGATCCCAGCCCATCCCTGACCCACTGTGGGATCCTGGGCAAGTGGCTCCCCTCTCTGGGCCTCAGTTTATCTCTTTGGAGAATGGGGCTAAGAGGCCCAACCATAGGAGAGTATGAGGTCAGAGATGAGATTATGTGAATGGCCCAGGGGGTGCCTGGCATGCAGTAGGCACTGCATAAATGGTCATTCTCCTGACCCCTGCCAGGGTGTGGCTGAGGAGTGTCCCCCTCATGTCTGTCTATCCGTGATTTCTGGCCCCTGTGGACTGCCCCATTGTTCTCCTGAGTGGACAGCAGCCCAGAGAGGGCTGGCAGCCATCCAAGGCTTCTGGCCCTGGGGGCCATCTGGGTGAGGGGAGGTGCCGCAGAGGGCCGCGGGGGGCCCCAGAGCTGGGGGAGGAGGTCTAGGCTGGGGTGGGGCAGTCACCCAAAGAGCTGCAGGCGTCCATTCTCCTTGGTGGGGCCTGCCAGCAGCAACAGGTCTGGGAGTTCCAGGGCTGGACTGGAGGCTGCCACCCCCATGGTGACCTTGTTGGCGACTTCTCCTAACCGGGTCACCTGGGGCGGGGGTCAGAGGTTAGAAACAGGATAGATGGGGGGCAGGATTGGGGAAGGATCAGAGGTCAGGAATCTTGGTAGGGTTAAGGGTCATGAACCAAGTGAGTTAAACACCAAATCGGGGGTCCAAGGGAGACAGAGGCCAGGGTTCAGAGGGAGGATAAAAGTCTGGAGGTATTGGGGGCGCAGGTCATGGGGGAGCAGTGGTAGGAGAGCAGGCGTTCCCCAAGTCAGGGGTCGGGGCTCAGGCCCAGGCTCGGGGGTCCTGGGGCTCCGCACCTGCACGAAGTTGCTCTCAAAGATGGAGAAGTCTCGCAGCTGGTCGAACTCGCCGCTCAGGAGGTGGCGCTGGAGCCGTCCGGGCCGGCCCGTGGGACAGGCTGGAAACAGGGGGCGTTCTAGGGGGGCGAAGTTCGGGGGTCTATTCCAGGAGGCTGGGCCGGGGCCCTCCAGCTGGTAGGGCCCGGGGCAGCCCCCCGCTGAGGGTAGCGGGATCGGGGCTCTCGGTCTCCGCATCGCCGGCCCCATCCCGCACCCGGTCCAACCTCCCCAGGCCCGGCTGCGCCTCTCACCTGCCATCCCACCTGGTCCCGCCTCACCTGCTCCACCGCGGGCCGGTTTAGGCTTGCGCCCCGGCTACATCACAACGCCCCGCCCCTTGGGCGGAGCGGAGGGAGGGGCCGGGAAGAAAACGGGAGGGCGGGGCCGCGGGCTCTGTGACATCACAATGCGGCGGACGTGGTTTTACTCCGTCACCGTGGAGACGCCCGCGATTGTGACGTCATCCGAGGGCGCGGCGCCCGGAGACTCGGATGAAAGGGCGGCCGCCCTGCTCACGCCAGGCCCCGGTAGCGGGCGGGCGCTAGTGCGCAGACGCAAGGAGCCGCGCAGGCGCGTGGGAGGAGGGATGCGGCCGTTCCTCCCGGCGTGCTCCGCGGCGCCCGGCTGACAGCTGCCCCTTGGCTGGTGGGAAGGGGCCAAGATGGCGGCCGCCGGCGCTGGGGCGACCCGGCTGCTCCTGCTCTTGCTGATGGCGGCCGCAGCGCCCAGCCGGGCCCGGGGCAGTGGTTGCCGGCCTGGGGCCGCTGCGCGGGGGGTGAGTGCTCATTGACTGCACAGAGGGAGGGGCCGACGGGAATGGTGGGTCTCGGGCTTTGAGGCCGGTTGAGCAGGGGACGAAGCTGCGCAGGGCCAAGAGGAGAGAAGAGGTGAAAGATCCGTGGAAAGTGAGGCTGCAGTCATGCACTCGCACGAGGCCCCACGACCGGGAGAAAGCGAGAGGATTGTTAGGAAGGCTGTGGTCGTGAATATGCATGAGGGGGCGGGGCTCGGAGGGGGTCTTGCCACCTGGGCGGTGGGTGCGGTGAAAACGAGGCTCCGCGGAAGGAGAAGGTTGGGGCGTGAGCCTTTTGACCCTGGGACCCTAGGGACCCGCGGTCGTGAATATGCATGAGGAGGCGTGGCCTGGGCGGGATCTTAGCGAATCAGACGTCGGGGCGGCTAAAATGAAAAAGGCTGGGAGGGGCGCTCGAGCAATTAGAGGAGTTCTGTCTCTTGAATATGCATGAGGAGGGCGGGATCTTGAGCCCGTGGATTGAAATCTGGAACCAGGTGGCGCAGGTGCGGGGGCGTAGAGTGGAGAATGTAGAGGTAGGAGGAATGTGGAGAGTGTTGGAGAAAAGGACAGCATGGAACCTGGCGGAGCTCGGGCGGCATCGCGGCTACAGGGGCTGTTAAGGCGCAAATGAGGCCACTTGGATAGTAGCTTGGGAAGGCAGGGTGCCCTTGAACTCATGAATATTTATGATGCTAGGCGTGAACGTGAATTAGAGATAGTTGCCGTGGAAACGAGGTTACGCTGGTTTTGCAGGCCCAGGTGTCCTGGGCACTGTCCAGATCATGAATTTTCATGAATGGGCAGCTCCGGGAGGAATCGTGGGCTAGCATTGGTGTTTGGATATGAATATGAAAATAAAGTTTTGCAGGGGTCCGTGGGGTCTGCTCTGCCGAGGGCTCTGATGGTTCTCACCTGGGCCCTCTCTCTCTCCTGCAGGCCGGGGCGGAAGGGCGAGAGGGCGAGGGCTGCGGCCCGGTGGGGCTGCTGCTGGAGCATTCATTTGAGATTGGTGAGTCCAGCGACGGCCTCTCCTGGACACTTAGCTGTGCCCCATTAAGTCAGGAAATCTGGTCTGGGTGCCATTTCCTAACAGCTTGGCCCCTGGGGAGGATGGGGGAGGGCGTGAGAGAATAGAAGGTACCTTTGAATCCTCCCATCCCTGTAAGACAAATCCCAGGTGCAGAAGGGTCAATGCAGCAGTAATAACCTGCGAGCAGACTTGTCTGACCCATTGTTCCATGCCCTGCACTAGTGGTTAGATGCTCTGCTTGTGTAGACCCAGACGTCCTCACCACAGTCACGCAGGTGTCCAGATTCCCAGACCACAAATGTCAGTGCAGCCCAGGGGCTAATAATTGAGTCTGAGGCCTCAAACCCTGGGGCCACTTGTTACAAACACTAAAGCTGGGACCCACCGCAGACCCCTGAGTCTTGGCATCTGCCCAAGAAAGCCCCAGTGATTCTGCCGTGGCCTGGTCATTGGGAACTCTCCAGCTCTGCAGGCTCTGTATTTTGCAGGTAGGGAAACTGAGGCCTAGAGAGGTTATGTGTGCACCCCTGGGTCACCTGGTAAGGCAGAGGCGGGGCTTAGGAGCTGTGGGGTTCAGGCATCTGCCGTGAGCTGCCCTGTGAGGCAGGAGGGCAGGACACGGTGGGGGTCCCCCGTTTTGCAGGTAGGAAAATGGGGGCTCAGGATGGGGAAGCAGCCTGGTCACTGCAAGGCTGGAAAGGTGCGGTGGTGGGCTGGTGGCTGAGCCTGGTCTCCCCGCAGATGACAACGCCAACTTCCGGAAGCGGGGCTCACTGCTCTGGAACCAGCAGGACGGCACCTTGTCCCTGTCGCAGCGGCAGCTCAACGAGGAGGAGCGGGGCCGACTCCGGGTGAGGAGGGGACCGGGGCTGGGGGCTGGGGGGAGGGATGTGTGCCCTGACGCGTGACATGCGTGCCTCAGGGCCCTTGCCCATGCTGTTCCCGCTGTCTGGCACACCTCACCCCGCACAGTTTTCATACGATCAGCTCCTCTCAGCCTTCCAGATTTGGCCAAGACACTTCACAGTTGATGAGGATGAGGTTTGTTTATGAGGAGAGAGAGAGATCCCCACAATAGCCATGGTCCAAGAGGGGAACGTTACTTCCCCGTGGCCCCGCTCACAGCCTCCTTGGGGCCAGGATCCTCCCAGGCCTGGCTTGGTCCTCCCTAGGGATGGCACAGGGAGGTGCCGGGGCTCTGGTGGGGCCGAGACAGCAGGGTAGAGGAAGGGAAGACCGGGGCCCAGAGGGAACAGCAGTCTTTTAGGGAAAGCTCGCAGAAGCTGCCACCATCCACTTCCACTCTCTCCTTTTTGCCAGATGTAGCTATAAGGGAGGCCGGGGTCTCAGGCTTTCTTCTAGGCCACAGGCCTGTGGGCACCCTCCCTGTGGGGGCTGGCGGGTGAGGTCTGCCCCAACCAGCTTTCCTGCTGATGATTCTGTCACAGCTGCCCCCAAAGAGAGTTTGTTGCTCATAACCAGGAGTCCAGGTGTGGGATGGACACCAGGTGCAGCTGGATCCAGGTGTGGGGAAAGTGTCCCTGAGATTCACTCCATCGCTGGGCTGGGCTGGGCTCGGCTCTCCTTGTGTGGCTTCTCCCCCAGGTAGGGTGCCCCAGCGGCTCCCAGCCTCACCCACTACAGGGCCACCCTGGTGGGAACAGACCGGGATAGGCCTGGTTCTGGTGGGCCAGGGAGTGAGGGATGCTAGGTGAGACTGGGGAAGAGCCTTCCTGGCTGTGGGCCTGGGGCCAGGCACCGTCCCTCTCACTGCCACTCTCTGTCCGCCCTGCAGGATGTGGCAGCCCTGAACGGCCTATACCGTGTCCGGGTCCCGCGGCGGCCTGGAGCCCCTGATGGCCCAGAAGCCGGCGGCTACGTTTCCTCCTTTGTCCCCGCGGTGAGTCAGTGACAGGACTGGCCCATCCTCACTCCTCCTACGCGCCCTAGCCTGGCTCCCGCCACCCGTGCCCCAGCATTTATGGCTGGGGGAGACTTGGCTCTGGCCTTGTCCTCAGGGGTCTCCGGGCTGGAGGGACAGTCCAGGTGGTGGGCACTTTGAGGGGACAGCACGGGGCCTCGTGGGCCTGGGGAGACTTGCTCTTGGGCTTGTGCCCAGGGGTAGCAAGGGCCATTGAAGGCTTTAAAAGATGCTTCGGGGCCCCCATAGTGGGGGCCGGAGGCTTGGGGTCGTGGTGTGGGTGAGGCCTGGGCAGCAGCCCCTGTGCCCCCTCCCATAACCCCCTCCCCCCGCAGTGCTCCCTGGTGGAGTCGCACCTCTCGGACCAGCTGACGCTGCACGTGGACGTGGCTGGCAACGTGGTGGGCGTGTCGGTGGTGACGCACCCCGGGGGCTGCCGGGGCCACGAGGTGGAGGACGTGGACCTGGAGCTGTTCAACACCTCCGTGCAGCTGCAGCCACCCGTCACGGCCCCGGGGTGAGGGGCCCGTCCCGGCTCGGCCATCCTTCCCTCCGCGGCCTTTGCCGGTGTCCTCGCTGGCTGGCTCCCCCCACCGCCCTGCCCGTCCTGACCGCCTCAGGGTCTCCTGGCCCCTCACCCTGTCTCCTTCCCCCGTCTGCCCCCAGTCCTGAGACGGCGGCCTTCATTGAGCGCCTGGAGATGGAGCAGGCTCAGAAGGCCAAGAACCCGCAGGAGCAGAAGTCCTTTTTCGCCAAATATGTGAGTGGGGCTCCTGCCCCTGCCCTTCCCGACAGGCCCGCCCCCTCCAGTCCTGAGTCCCCTCTGCCCTGCTCCTCTCCCCAGTGGCCCTCGGGCCTGTTCCTCATCCTCCGGGCCTCCTGTGTGTGAGGCCACTTTGTCCCCTCTGGGGCGTCCGTGCATGTCCCCCTGGCACCAGGGCTAAGCCCAGGCCTGGACGAGAAGGTGAGGACTGTGGAAGCCCGCACCCTGCCCCGGCCCGTGTCAGCTCATGCCAGTGCTCATGGGGCGTCCAGTCTCAGCAGATGGCCGGCCCAGAGCTGGGTGGTGCTGGGAACCAGGGTCAGCCCCTTGAGTGCCTGTGCCGGGGGCAGAGGTGGCACAGGCAGGGTCAGTCTTGAACGGAGGCCAGTTTGGAGGAAGTGCAGTGGGGAGGGCCGTGGTCAGGGGAAGGACGAGGGTCCAGGGGAGAGGACAAGGCTGGAGAGGGGAAGACGGCCGAGATGCCAAAGGAACAGGGAGGTTTGGAGAGGAGGGGGCGGGTGGGGTCCTCCAGCCAGTCCTGGGAGGTGGGCGGCTTTGGGGAGGGGCATTTGGGGGTGGCAAGGCTCTGGGAGGAGATGCCCAGGAGGCTGGTCTGGAGCTGAGGAGGGGCAGACTGTGCTGCCAGAGCAGCTCTGAGCCCAGGGCCCTTGGAGCTGGGAGTGCTGGGGCTGGAGGAGGCCGGTCCCTCCCGAGGCAAGGGCAGGGGACATGGAGGCCAGCGCGGCTGGGGCCTCGGGGCCGCGGCGGAAGGACGCTGAGCCCCGCTGTGCTAGGTGCTGGGTGCTGTGCCTGCAGAGCCTGGGTTAGTGTGGCAGTACCTCCTG